CAAGAAGAAAGAGCTGGAACTAGCCAGTGAAAACCCTATGGGTCAAAATGGTGTGATCTTCCATCGATTATGGGGATGGTACAGGCATCCCGGACTATGGTCAAAGGGCATTCACCAGAGGCTTAGTCCATGTGTAGACCCTGCAAATAAATGTGGGACTTCCACTGTCACCCAGAGCCTTCTACAAACTAGGTGTTCAGAATGTAAACCCTGATACAATTCCTTCCTTTGGATTTGGGTTATATTATTTATCATTCTTGGATCACACCGGCTGGTGTGCTTCTTCCAGGTGGACTTAGCTGATGCCTCACTTAGCTGTTTGTTTGAAGACAAGCCTTTAAGACCCAGATGCTATTCTTTCTGATAGCAAGGCGCCACCTTATTTCTTCCCCACACTTAACTGTGGCACTCTTATCTTCAGTGATCTCTTCATCAGGGCAAGGATTGAGTAGGGCCCTGTCATAAGAACTAATTGTTCTTTGAGCTAGAATCAAATGTGAGCCCCCAATCCATTCATATCTCTATGGTTCATATATGTCTCTGGTTCACTTTAGAGATGGTATTATCATTTTATGATAGAGAACATTATAAATCATGTGAACGGAATAAAATTTGAAAGCCAATCAGTTCCCCATTCCACAATTCATATACACTTTGTTTCAAGGCATTGACTGTAAACCCCACAATGGAACAGCACTCACCCCACTTACTCCTTGTGTTTAACTTCCTGTTCTTCCTTCTCTCCTAGCCCTTCCTGCCTTCTGAACACTGGCATTGAGCAAGTGCTTCCCCCTGCGTAGCAAATGGTTGGTTTTCCTCAGGAGTGTGTACCTCCCTGATGTCCACCTTCTACACCTGTCTACTGTTCTGGCTTCACGTTGAGTCACAGGCATGAGTTGTTTCAGGCTTGAGGGGTGACCAAGGATCGTAGGCACAAGGGTCTCAGCAGTCACCCTCAGACCAGCAAGTCTGCGCTTTTTCACGACTTTGAGTCTGGATCCACAGTTTCACCCACTCTATTCAGGGCCTCTGTTGGGGTCCCTTTCAAAGGAGTCAGCAGTGGTCGCTGGTCACCGTCTAGTGCTTCTGGTCTCCCAGTCACCAAGACTGGGCACCTGGCCATCAGTCCGTTGGTTCTTGGGACCAATTGTTTCCATGGATCTTTCCTTTGCTTCACTCTTCTTTGTTCCAGACGAGAAGAGACCAAGAATCGCACCTTAGCGTTTAAGGTCCCAGTCACTACTCACCAAAGTAGGATGTAGAAAATGTTCTTTGTGGAAAATGTTGTGCCCCGTCCCTCAAGGTGTGTGGTTTGTGCTTAAGAAGTTTTCATAACGTTGCCCCCTGGGTGCTCTACTGTCTTCATGGATATATTTGTGACAAAGGTAAATACATATGTTAAGAAATGACCTCTGTCAAATCTCTATATATTTGGGGGAATGGTCTCATTTCTCCTTCCCATACCTATTCAGCATGCATGTCTATCTAGGTGGCCACTCATAGATTCTTATGATTGTTATTTCAGAATTATGTACCCAGTATTAAAGGCCACAGAGGGAAATACAGTTGTTTTTTAAATATAGGCCTAAGGGTCAGCCAATACGTGACTTCTACATTTGGTTTGGGTTCAAGACAGAATGAGCCGCTTCGCTGACTGCCAGCGAGTCAAGTCCAACTCCTAGAACCCCTGGAGCTGAGATCAGGGTATGTCCCTTTGCTGTCCAGCCCCCATAAGAGGCCACAGTGCCCCTGCTCAGAAGACAGGAAGAAATGAACAAAACACCCATTTAAATACCTACCTATGATGGAATCCCTCCGGAAAACGTCTCTATCGAAAATGTAAAATGACAGGTGGCGAAAGCTCCGAGGAATTTCACAGTAAAAGTCTTCTCCGTAAAAGGGGCTGGACAAACAAACAAAAGGAGCAGCGTTAGAATGCTCAGCGCACACTTGATCCATGACCAACATTTCTTCCCCGGCGGCTTGAATGTCGATGGGGTCTTTTCCATCTCATGCATTATTTGTATCTTTGTCTTTAGACTGTCATGGTGTTATCCTTACCACCTTAGTGTGATTTTGGGTTTTATTTTCTGTTGTTTTTCCCAGCTGTGAAGCAGTGGAGTGGATGTCTAATGATACATGGGGTCACAGGGAATGCAGGGGTGGGGGCGGGTGAGAGGGAGGAAGGGGGACTTAGGGAGTAAATAATGAAAGCGGGCAGGGGAGCAAGCGCTAGAATGGATTGTGATTGCACAACTCATTGTAAAGGCGATTTAACCATGGGGGTGGGGGGCGGTAGGTGGAGAGATGCTCTAAAATTGATGTGCTAATGATTGTACAATTCTCCTTGACATAATTGAACTATTGAATTGTATGATGTGTAAATTATATGCCAATAAAACTATTGGGAGGAAAA